CCTGTGGGAAGTCCGAGGACCACCCACCCCCCTCCAGGTCTAGTAAGGTGAGCATCCAAACAGCCTAGGCTCCCACAAAGCCAGTACGTGCAGTAGGATCAAAAACCCCAGTGCCATTGTTCTTGAGGTCTCAGTAGTCCTCATTGTCCGCTATGTTCAGCGAGACCGGTTTTAACCCAGGCTTTTTCAGACCCAGGACAGCTGGCCTTGGTGAGTTCCCGATAGAGCAGTAAATCATTTTATGGTTGAGGGATCACCACAACATGAAATGTTTAAAGTGGTCACAGCATTTGGAAGGTTGAGAACTACTGCTATAGAGGAACAGAACTGATAGAATGAAACTCTATCTATCTACCTAATATATATGTATATGTATGTATTTATTAGAGTGGCTTACAGGCTGTGATCCAGTTGGCCCAAGAAGGGTGGCTATGAACAGAAAGTCTAATAATCCAATAGCTGTTCAGTCCATAAGGCTGAATGTCTCACTCTTCCCAGTATATGCTGCAATCCCATGCAGGCTCCAATACCAGTGAAGGAATAGACTTACCAGCAAAGCGAGAAAAGCAGTCATGCCCTTATAATATAGGCTTCCATCAGAATGTGTGATCCAGAGGACATGTGGATCTTCCCACTTCAAATGATTTAATATTGAAATTTATAGTTTATATATCCAATGAATGCTTCCACCATGCCCTTCAGTTGTAGCCAGCAATTTCCATGCATTCACATAGCCCCAACCTTACTATTTAAGACAGGATGTGTCACTGGCTGGCCAGCAAGTCACATAGGATTTGCTTGCATCTTCCCATTCCCAGCTCAGAATTATAGACACTGTCACTACCCTTGACTTTTACATGAATGCTGAGGATCTGAACTCAAGCCTTCATCTTACATAGCACTGCTTAACCCAGTGAGCCATCCCTGAAGTTTCTTGTGCTTTGATACTCATTTTTTGTTTTGTTTTGTTTTTCAAGACAGAGTTTCTCTGGAGCCCTGGAGCCTGTCCTGGAAATCGCTCTGTAGATCAGGTTGGCCTTGAACTCAGAGAACTGCCTACCTCTGCCTCCCAAGTGCTAGGATTAAAGGCATGCATTACCACTGCCTAGCTGATATTCTTTTTTAAAAATACCACCTTATAGTACAATATCACCATTTAAACTGTAGCTATCATGACCATCCTTTGTGGAACAGAATGTTTTAGAATTTCGGTAAGTTCCTCTCCCTTTCCCTCTCCCTCCTTTCTCTCTCTCTCACACAGACACTCACACACACACACACACACACACACACACACACACACACACCATTCCCACCTCATTGGCTAGAATCTAGTCATGAAATTAAGAAGTGTTAACTTTTCATTAGGAAAATGGAATCCCCAAATTAAATAACATGCTTTTCTGTAAAGAAACTGGAGAAGGGATGTAATAATAATAATAATAATAATAATAAAGTCAATTTTGCTACAAGCTTCTATATCTGGAATAAACTGGCCAACTGCAGTATGCATAGACCACCATTAAAGAAAGTCTTAGCAATCTTAAATCTGTAAAAGGAAAAATGTTCCTTTGGATGCCTCACTGTTTCTGCCTTTAACAATAAGTAGGGGGAAAGAAGGCGGGATATTGTGTTTATTTTTCAATTGGGAAGGTAGTTTCTCTTGAATAATTCAAATGTACATCTGGGCGAAATGATTAGTTGCTAATTCAAGATTTCTCATCATGAGTTGGTGAAACAGTCACTGAAAAAGATGAACAGGTAATTTGAGGAGGTATAAAAGCATACAGTTTATTGTTAGTTATTTTCTTAAAATTAATAGAACTGAGAAGAAAATGTACATTTTAGGGCACAGTAGGCTAGATATATTCATTTATCTTGCCATGGAGTAGATTTAGCTTTAGGATATGGGAGGAGAGTTTGGTGTATGGAAGATTTTGCTGCTTATTCCTGCCATCTCTGTGGAGGGCCATATCAGTGAAATAGAGGGTGCCATAGCAGCATGGTAGCTCTTCTTGCCAGGAGCACATATCAACATGTGGCTTCAACTTAAATGGCTTGCTCCAAAGGACCACCGAATGGAAAGTAATCCTACAGAAGCCCACATATGTCCAGGAAATCATTACTTTCAGAGACTATGCAAGACAGGCTTTGGTAGTTGACTGGTTGTCCCTGGCCAACCACTGTGCTTGAGTGTGCTGTTCATGGTACTTACTAGGGTTTCTTCCCTGCATGTCCTTGAGTTGCTATTGGACAGATACCAGAAAAGGGGAGTGCTTTGATATAACAGGATGGGCTCAGCGTCACTGCATTGTGTTTTTAGGAAGACTTGAGACCCCTGCTTTTATAGTAACTTTAATGTTGCTATGACCAGTACTATGACCGACAGTAACTTGAAGAGGAAAGGGTTTGTTTCAGCTTATAGTCCCATGGAGCAGTTAGGAAGCAGGAAGAAGCTGGAAGCTGATGCATAGGTCACAGTTGATTGCTGCTAATGGGCTAGCTGTGTCTGCTTTCTCATAATACCCAGGACCAGCCAAGGGATAGTCCTGCCCCATTGAACTGGGCCCTCCCACATCAATTATCAGTCAAGGGAGTTCACCACAGACCATCTGGTAAGGCATTTTCTAAGTTAAATTTCTCTTTTTCCAGATGATTCTAGCTTGTGTCAAGATGACATAAAACCAGCAGCACACCTTACTTTTATGTTATACTAATCTGAAAACCATCTCCAAAGGTTTTGAACTACAGATGAGACAAGTAACTAATAGAGAAGACACTGAATGGACACCATACAAATAACTGTCACAAGGCATTTGGTAAAGGATTTTTGTAAGCAGACCGGTTTTTTTCACAGTACTTTTAGGTTTATCTAACAATTCCTGTAAGGCAAGGAGTTCCTGGATGTCCCGGAAGCCCTCTAGTTTAAACAACCAGCAGCAGTGTGCCAATGTATGGCACATTTATTGAAATCCATGAGTTGACAGTGATAAACCAGGATTCATTGGTTTGTATAATTTATGAGCTTTGACAAATATATAAGGACAGTATCATGCAGGATGGTTTCCTCTAGGCAACCCC